GGAAAAAAGACTACATGACACAACTAGCAAACGGTGATCAACAGAGGGTCAACGAGAAAAGCCTTTTCCATGGAACCAGTTCAGATTCCGTAGAGGCTATCTGTAAAGAGAACTTTGATTGGCGGCTAAGTGGCACTGCGACCGTTACTTTGTATGGTCAAGGAAGCTACTTTGCGGTGAAAGTATCCTACAGCCACAACTAAGCAAAAGAAGATGCCAATAGGTCTCGATTTATGTTCGTGGCCAAAGTCCTCGTGGGTTCGTATGTAAAGGGAAACCCCAACTATCGAAGACCACCCCACAAGCAACCTTTGAATGGAGCTGGTATCCTTTATTATGACTCCTGTGTGGATGACGCATTGAAGCCAACTATGTTTATTGTCTTTGACATTGATCAGTTCTACCCAGAATATATCTTCCAGTATTGAACTGTTTGTTTGCATCTGAAAAGATTCAATTCACAGAGAGCAATAACTTCCAATCCGAAACCTTGCTTCTCAACCACTCAATTTACGATGGGCTCGATAAACTTTTCTGAGACTACACTCGATTGCAAAAACATTGACCCCCAAAAGTCATGTTTAATCCTTTACTTTTTCATTGTTCATAAAAATCTTTGTTTCATGAAAATCTATTCTTTTAGGAAAGCGTGGGTGGCTTCTACCATTTACCACGTGCAACTTGTTATGGTTATGATGTACATATGTACCCATAAAACTGTCTGGTTGCGAGAAGGATTTGATAATCAGATAAGAAACTGTAGGCTACTTTCAAAAAAGTTGAGAAAGGAAAAACGGTGTGGTTTTGTAAATACTTTAAAATTTGAAAAGCAGGCAATGTCTATAATATGCCCGGGACTGCCCTACCAGGAGGCTGTCGAACTGGTGAATATTGTCCCTATTGTATATTTCATCACAGGGCTATGTAGTTATACCTTTGACACCATTATTAAGGTCCCACGACACCGTCTGCACAGTTTGATCCCATTTAGTGGACCGTCACGTTATGTTCAGAGATGCAACAAGCACTTCATCGTACCTAAATGCAAGACTTATCGCTTTAGAAATAATTTTATTATTAGATCCTGTATTAATAATATATATACGTGGATTTTCAGTCTTTTTTTAATATACTTTGTGTTTTATATACTTTTTTATATACTTCTATATTTACTGTACTTAGTTTTGTAAATACGCAATTCAGCCTTCGGGTTGCAAAGTATTGATGATTAAACTATCTATCTATCTATCTATCTATCTATCTATCTATCTATCTATCTATCTATCTGTCTGTAAAAGAGTTTCACACTTTTAGAGGCTGAGAAAAGGCTTATTAGTTTTAGCTTCTAGCACATGATTGATGACAACTGCAACTGATACGGCATTCCACCGACTGCTCTGGAATTCTCAATAGTAAGAACAGTCCTCCATAAAAGCTAATATTTTTATTTTTAAGCAACAAAGATAGGACTAAAAATGGAATTACTATTACAGTCATACAACACTGTTTTGCAACCGACGATAAAAAGCTGCTGTTTTTTCGTTGTTCTGCGGACTAATTTCCCAGAGGGATTTCATTATCTTATGTGTAAGAAGTTGTTATTTGTTTAGTATAAAAATAAACACGTAAAAAATAGCGATGAACCCACGTTTCAGAGTCTTCATGACGCAATTGTCAAGGTAACTTTTATCGTTAAGATAATGAATTCTGCGAGTATTAATAACTGCCATACATTTACATGATAAAGAATGCGGGATTAAGATTAAGATTAAGATCCGGATTTAACACGGATTAAGTCGGATTGCACGATCAGAGTTGGTTTTAAGTCTCTGATGAATAACATCTCGTGCACCAAGTGATCAAATTTTTCTTTTGCATCTCTTTAGAACATCGAAGTGCATAAGCAGGTGTGGACACACATAAACAACGGTCATCTTCTATATCTAAACACTACCAAGACAAACATGGCAAGGTCCCTGAAGATATATTGACTTACTCACTCGACCAAGAAATCGTCTGTCCCGTTTTGAAACTGAACACTTTACGGAAATGAGAGCTAGAATTCCGAGAAAACGACAATGTTCTCCTAACATGACTGGGTTGAGGAAAATGGCTTGTTTTTGCAATTTTCAACCTGACAGCTGGTCTGTTTAGTGAAATGATTTTCACAGAAACTGTTGGCTGAGTAACATAGCGTTGGAAAGCGTATTATAAAATTAAAATAACATAATTATGCAGATATGCTTCTTTTTTTTACGCTGCACCCATACCACCGTGTTGAGAGTAGAGTGTCTTCAGTGGCGAATTTCAGAACCAAAAAAGACATCCAAATTCCATTCAGTATATGTTATAGCACAGAGTTAATTTTTATTGTCATTCATCCCTGGTTATCGACTAGAACTGAGGTCCACAAATTTCAACGCTGCCACGAGCATGATTTATCAGTCAGTTTTGCTCTACCAATTTGGTTTTGTTGAGATGAAGCCCTCAAATAAAAGAGTGCTCAAAAAATGCGCCTTCATTATAGAAAACTCTCTCGAAATCATTTGTCGCTTTTTAAACCAAACATTCAATGAGAAATGAGGACTAGGATTCCGAGAAAACGACAGTGTTCTCAATTCCAAGATCGTTCCGAAGACAAAAGAATTTTATTCAGACAACGGGAAGCCAGCGTAATGAATTAATATTCACAAATTTGTCAATGAATCTACACGAAAACGTTTGGCAAGGCTTAATCCTTGATAAACTGCTTTTTGCGCAGATTGCCGTACGATTCATTTTCATTTTCAACGTTACAAGCGAGAGATCTGTGAAAATCTCAAGGGAAAATATCGACCAACTTCGGGTTCAAACACACGTCCGTGCTTATTCTTCTCTATTACCATGGAAACGTCATTGAAACGAAACCAAAAATGTTAACCTCACTTTCATGAAAAATGAATAAATTACCACTTCCGTGTTAAACACCTCCCTTCCCAGCTGTAGAATTGCGAGCTTCATAGATGTTACAATACTACTAACGACCTTTCGCAACGGAAAAGGAGATTTTATGTACCATCAACCGTAGCCAAACGAAGATGATTTACGACAGAATGGATCGTTTGAGCGGAAATCTCTCGGCTGATTACACCGCAGTTGTGACGATAAAAACTTTGGCCATATTGTTCATGATCATCCTGACAGTTCAGTGCGTATTTCATACACTATGTTTTTTCTGCTTGTTTTGTGGATATTTCGCGCTAATAGTGAGTAGCGTGTATATGATTTTGGTGAATGCGTTGGTTATTATCGTGTGGGTCGCATTCGGCGAAAGGGTTTCCGATGTGCTTGAACAGCTCAAGAAGCTCTTTGATTCCTTATGTACCATCATCTGTAACCAGAAAAGGATGATTTTCGATAGAATTGATCGCTTGAGGGGACATTTTTCGGTTGGTTACGTGGTGCTTGAACCGATAAAAACAGTCGCCATAGTGTTCATGATCATCCTGATAGTTCAGGGCGTATTTCAACTACTTTGTTATTTCTGCGTGTTATGTGGTTGTTTTGCGCTAATATTGAGCAGCGTTTATATGATTTTGGAGGACATGTGGGTTATTTTTGTGTTGGTCTTCCTCGGCGACAACGATTTCAATGTGGTTGAACAGCCCAAGACGCTATTTGCTTTTTTATTTACCATCATCCGTAGCCAAACAAAAAGGATTCATGACAGGGTGGATAGCTTGAGGGGATGTTCTTCGGCTGATTGCGCCGCGGTTGCCGCGATAAAAATTTTCGCCATTTTCGTGATTATTCTGACAGTACAGTTCGTATTTCACTTACTATGTTATTTCTGCGTATTTTATGGATATTTCGCTGTTGTGAGTGGTGCAAGTATTACTTTGGTGAAGGTGTGGGTTATTTTTGAGTGGGTTCTCTGTTTCATCTGGAACCTATTCCCGGAACCGATTAAACCTATCCTATGTTGCCTTAGTTCCACTACGTTACGTGGCGTGGTTACTGTCGTTTCATCTTTCTCAGACTGGGCCTTAAATTTGAGAATCGACTGGAGAAGTTTTTGGCAACTGTGTTCTTTGTGCGGCATAGCAATAATAGTGATGCTTTGGATTAAACATGGCACGAGAGTTATCTGTGGCAAGGTCTCCAGAGGTGTGAGAGAGGTCAAAAGACTCCTCGATTATGTGTTTGCCGTTTGCAGCGACCACGGCAGGATCATTCTACGTTTGAGCGGACGTTGCGATGCAAAAATGACGGTGATAATTATTGCTGTCATTTTTTTTGCTTTTACTTTTACCTATGTAAGTATCTTTCCGTCCGGTCACTCTTACTGGTCGATGTTTGCTCATCCTTTTCATCTAACTGGGACATATCTCGTTCGAGTCTGGGATAATATGGTGGTTAGGTTGGACAATATCCGCTTGTTCGTCTCGACAATCTTTCAGCCATTGACAAACATCACCGACAGTTTCTGGAAATGGATGGCTTTGCTCTCTGGGGACGAGGCAGCGCAGGTTTGTCAAATTTGTTTATTTGTGGACTCATTAAAATTCATT